GGATATAACAAAGTTCTCTTCTTGCTCTTTACTGTGATAAATCACATCAGGAAAATTAGCTGTAATTGTTAACTAGATGTTTTACATTCTCTCTTTCTTTGCCATTAGGCAATTTCAGTTAGAGCATCATTGTACCCTAACTAGAATGGCGGAAATAAATGTGTATTATGTTGGTTTTCAAGTCTTTGTACTTGACGGTTATATTTTTTTTTCTAAGTGATTTCTGTACCATCAAAGCTGAATAAATGTCTTTTTGACACCAATTATTACACTTCCAACTTATGGAATGCAAAAAACAAAAAAAAACAAAAAAATTCTGTCTCTTTGCCGAGGGCAATGACCAAGGCCCTCGGCAAAGAAGGGTCCTTTGCCGAGGGCCGTCCCATTGCCCTCGGTAAAGATTCATTGGAAAATTTCTGGAACATTTCTTTGCCGAGGGCCATGGTTGGAGACCCTCGGCAAAGACATTTTTAAAAAAATTAAAAAAAATTTACCGAGGGTCTGTGGGGAAGCCCTCGGCAAAGATTTTTCAAAAAAAAAAGAATAATTCTTTGCCGAGGGCCGTCCCATTGCCCTCGGCAAAGATTTTTTGGAAAAATTCTGCAACATTTCTTTGTCGAGGGCCATGGTTAGAGGCCCTCGGCAAAGATTTTTTTTTAAAAAAAGAATAATTCTTTACCGAGGGCCCCCGGAGATGGCCCTCGGCAAAGACTCCATCCCATCGCCGTGGTGATTTGGCCGCTTTTCTTTGCCGAGTGTCGGTCCAGTTTTGCTCGGCAAAGGCTTTGCCGAGAGTGCCCGATAACGACCCTCGGCAAAGACCCTCTTCGCCGACTCAAAATTCACCGAGAACTCTTTGCCGAGGACCGCCCTCGGCAAAGCCTTTACCGAGGGTTAATGGGCATTTGCCGAGGGCCTCAAGCCCTCGCAAAGAGGCCGTCTTCTAGTAGTGTATGGACTTGTTTAGTTGCTCCCAACTTCCAACTTTGGCACTATGTAAAAAGAAGATTCTCCATCACATCAAACTTGTAGTACATGCATGGAGTACTAAATGTAGACGAAATCAAAAACTAATTGCACAGTTAGGTTGTACTTTGCAAGACGAACGTTTTGAGCCTAATTAGTCAACGATTGGACAATTATTACTAAATACAAACGAAATGCTACATCGCGCTACAGTGAATCCGGCGGCACCGAATTCGGCCAACTAAACAAGGCCTATGAATTCCAGTGGCCCGGTTCGCTCCAACTTATCAGGTTTATCAGCCATTTCTGCGGGTTTTTTCTTTCGTAAGGCCTTGTTTAGTTCTTTCCTTGAAGTTTAGTTCCTATCATATCGTATGTTTAAACACATGCATAAAGTATTAAATATAAACTAAAAAATAACTAATTATACAGATTGTGACTACTTTATGAGACGAATTTTTAAGACTAATTAGTCCATGATTTGACAATATGGTGCTACAGTAAACATGTGCTAATGACAGATTAATTAGACTTAATAAATTCGTCCCGCGGATTCCTGAGGACTTCTATAATTTATTTTATTATTATTACCCGAACACTTACATGTTACACCTTTACGTGACACCCCTAAAATTTAGCCCTAGATTTAAACACCACCTAAAACACATAGTCAAAATTGTAATAGGAGATTACAACAACCGGTACTATTTCCTGATGCAAACAGAGCGTATGTTCGTGCAGGGCCTAAGTGCCTATTTGCTCTACAACGTGCCAACCTTTGTTTGTCGTTGAACTTTTTCGTACCAAAGAAATATAGGGTTCATTTGCAGCTTTTCTCGTCTAAACTCTATATAGCACAAATGTATAAAAAAACATGCTACGATCACAATATCTATATATCCATCATCTCATATTTAGTTGGATGAAGTTTACCACGCCACCTGTTGCGCGGTCGCAAGAGCGTGAGACCCCTCCAGTCGACGCCTCCCAACACGCCCCTAGTATGCGGTGCCCACTAATCCCACCCTCTATGAACTTGTTGCCAATGAGTCTCCCTCGCACTTGCTTCGTCCAACCACCACCTCCACCCATCGTGGTTGGCAACGCTCTGCTGCCTTGCAACTCCGCCCATCCATGGTCAAGCCAATCTTGACGCCGGGGTTCTAAGGTTGAGGGAGGAAGTAAACCCTAACTCCAGCAAAGGTGCGGTGATGGACGGGTCGATGGCACAGGGTCACACGCTCACGCAAGTGACCAGACATTGATTAGAGTTTGTGTATTTAGTTACAATCTAAATATTTCCCTTATGCCTTAAATTTTAGCCTGGCAAGTTGTCTATATATTAGTATATGTTATTTGGAATATGGGACTATTAGAGAGAAATATTTAGGAGAGTTTTTTTTGTTAGGATGCCCCTACATGTGAATGAAGAATTAAATTTAGGAGTATTCTTGGGTTGGTTTGACCTCGTTTGGACAGGGCCGAGCCGGCGAAAATTGGGGCCCTGTACCAAACTATAAAACGAGGCCTTATCTCTTGATAGACAGAATTATAGTAATTATTATAAATTCTACATACATATCATGCAATGTATTAATCTCTTGGAACACGATAAATAATCATATATATGAAGGATAATTATAGTTTATAATATAATGATTGTTCAAAAAACATTAGTTCATATAATGTTACGAAGGACAATAGAATTCAAAATTGGGGAAAAGATTAGAATTATCGAGTACTCTCTCCGTCCATAAATAAGTGCAATTTTAACACAGTAAAAAGTTAAAATATCTCAAGTTTGACTAGCTATATATAAAATACATAATATTTATGATATCAAATAAATATTATTAGATTTTTCATGAGACATACTTTCTAATATGTTTATTTGAGCATTAATATTTTTTACTTATATATTTGGTTAAATATATTAGACACTTTATACTCGTGACTCATATGTACTCCGTGGTACGGTAGTATGTAGTATCGGCTAGTTTCCAGTGCTAATACATGATGATAGTTTACGTCATGGGCTTGAATTGGTCCCCTAGCGTAGCTGGTAGTTACTAGTACTAGTTTGCATGCGCCTGATGACAAACTACCACAGTGATAGCTGGTAGCTGATACATCAGGATTTGGGGGGCCCTAAAAATCATGGGCCTGTTCCCACGCCCTTAGCTTGGGCCTGCGTTTGGATGTAGTTGGATTTAAATTAATCCAGGGTGGATATTGAGATGAATCCAATAACTTTCAAACAAAGGCTAAAAGGGAATAATAATCGCACTAAAAGGCAAATCAACGTGAGCCATTTGTCACTAGAAGAGACCGCACTAAAAGGGAATAATAATGCTCGTTTAGACCTCTTTGCTCGTAACTGCATGCCTTTTATGTTATGTTACCACACACCCCAATGCACTGAAGAATTTGCATTTTCCATCCGAGCAGTTTTTTACGTGCAGGTGCAGCTGCTTTGCAAGGTCCCCACTCCCCAAAGCCAAAATGTCTTTTCGCTACGGTTTGGGTCAAATCTGCGTGCACTTATTATTCTATAGGCATCGTGTTACGCGTGGTCATGCAGATTCCTGAATTTAGCGCCGTGTTTAGTTTAGGAGTTGGAAGATCGTAGTATTTTCGTTTTATTTAGTAATGTTCCATGAACAAAACGTTTATGCACTGTGTAATTAATTTTTTTTTATCTATATTTTGGATTCATCGAACAATCTGTGTAGCTGATTTTAGGTTAGAACTAAACATGGGCTAGGTAGATCGATCCCATGAACAAAAATGCAACTTGGATTCATCGACAATCGCTGTTGTTGCCCTACAGTGGTAGCCATCAGACGCCTGCACAAATCCCATATTTTGTATTTCCTCCATACTAAAAAATAAAGTCGTTTTCGACAGTGATACGGTCTCCAAAACATAACTTTGACTATTTATTTTTATAAAGATATTTATCAAAAAATGATATATGTAAATTTTTGTGAAAGTATTTTTCAAGACACTATACATATGGTTTTTATATTTTCAAACTCAACGATTTAAACGTTATTCATGATTTATATTTCCAATATTTAATCCAAGCCCTGTAAAAACTAACTTTATTTTTATTTTTTTAGTAGGGAGGGAGCAGCTCGCTCGCAACATGGCAGAGGCCGTAGCACAGAAAGCCTTGCAAACTCCTGACCATTCGCAAGGGACTAGCCATTAAATGATCTGAATGCCGATTTTTCAGTCCATTCGTGAACGATCGTAATTTTTAAATTGAATAGTAAATTTTCTCTCACGTAAATTTCTAAGATTAGAATAACCAAAGAACTCTCGAATAAGTCAACCAAGCAATTTGTTTATGCTTAGCTGAGGATCTCAAAGTTGAAGGCATTGCATAGTATGCATTCCACGGTGGCTATGTTTGGTTAGCCCCTCCTAAAGATAGTCAGCTAAATCTACTCTTATTTAGTCACTTTTCATCCAAATATTATAACTAAATGGGACTAAATGGGTTTTAGCCAACTAGTCACCAAAATATTACTAAAAGAGACTAAACCTCACATTTTAGTCACTTTAGAGCCAAACACCCTAACTAAAAGAGATTAAAAGGTCTCTTCTAGTCTCTTTTAGTCACCCAAACCAAACACCTAGTGACTAAAGTTTAGTCTCTGGTTTAGATGATTAAAGTTTAGGAGGAGAAAACCAGACAAGGTTACTCCATCCATTCTAAATTATAAGTCATTTTAGCTTTTCTAGATACATAATTTTTACTACATATCTCGATATACATATATCTAGATACAAAGTAAAAATTATGTATATCTAAAAAAAAAGTCGAACGACCTACAATTTAGAATGGAGAGAGTACATTACAACGAACATGTTCACAATAATTTTTACCACATGAGAGAACCGAGAAAACAGTTTGCCAATCAAGCCCATCAAAAATCACAACCGTTCCTGCTGCATCTAATGATGAAGGTACACGTCGACCGGAAGCTCATTGTGCCGTGGAAGTGTTGGCCTCCGCAGCTGCAGTTTTAATGTAGCCCAAACCTTGCCGTGGAAGTGTTAGCCTCCGCAGCTGCAGTTTTAATGTAGCCCAAACCTTTCAGCTTCTCCACCAGCTTCCTCTCCGCAGCAGCCTGAAACCATGAACCAGTGAGCGTCAGATATGTTTCACAAGATTGTTATGCAGGTATGAGCCCACCTGTAACTGTAAGTACCTCAAGAATGGGGCTGTCTTTTGGGATGTTGCATGCCAGGACTATGTTCAGACCGGTCTTCAGCACTGAGACATGTAAGGATGCATCCTTTCTGTTACTAAAAGCTACCGTGGATGCAGGGCAATTAGTTACTGTATAAACTTCCAACAGAAACAGTACCTAGACGGCGAGCCATACTTGATCCGGTGTTATCAGATGTTCCTCCCAGTACAGAGGTAACACTCACTCTGTTATCCTGCAAGGGCAACGGAAAAGACAATGTGGCACAATTGACAACAGAAATAATTAAACAGCATCTTCTAAAGATGAAACAATTACCGCTTACCGGCCTAGTGGTTGCAGCAGCATATAAATGGCCAAACTTTGTTGTGTTGCATCCAATCCACACATAGATCTGCATCAAAATGAATAAAAAGGAAAAGCTCAAATATGATTACTCACAAAAATATTCTATATACAGCAATTAAAGCATGAGAGGTAACACACTGCAAACAAGCTGTGAGGATATTCTTAAAAAAACAAGCTGTGAGAATTCAAACAAATGTACATCTAAAAATACGATGAATGTAGAGAGTACAGCAACACATCAATTTTTGTCCAGGCAGATTAAAGGCTTGGAGCTAACAATTACAAGTGACATAAAGCGTCCGTCCAGTCATAACCATCGTAACCACAATGTGAACAACCTTAGTCACAAGGACAGGATGAACTTGCCAAATGCTAAAACTAGCATGCTTTCAGGTCACAAGATGATATGATAGACTGCTAGTTACTTATTTTACTGAATGAAAGTACACAGCCAGCTGGTAGAGCACAAACAAAGTTGAAGCCTTATATCATCAGATGTAGCATAAGTTTTTTTTATATAAATATCAATGAATTCCTGCTATGTCATGACTTTGAACAACTTTCAGTTTGATACTTCAATTGGAGCCAAGAAACCTTGTCTACCTGTTTAGAAAACCTCATTATCTGAAAATGAAGTGTTACATCATGAAGATCCTCTGTGAAATTAGTGACTTGTACGCCCTCCTCAGACGACAAATCACCTGAAGAATAAGTTTCGTCCCTCTGTCCGGGTTGGTGAACACACCACCAAATCTGAAAAGCTTGCCCTCAGCTCCTCTGAAGACATCATGCACCTCTAAACCCTGAAACGAGATGAAGTTACATGTTGTTCATATAGGTGGGTAACATGAGCACCTCCTTTTATCAAGCCCTAAAAGGGCATTCCACTACACAATTCGCATGATGTCCATGAGCATACCGATCACAAAAGAGGACCAAAATAATTGAAATAAAGTTTTGCAGTCACCTAATTTGGGGCAAACCAGTTGTATTTACCAACTAGGGCGAGGTTTCAGAGCGTGGGTATATCGCGAGTGACAGATGCAACAGGCGAAACCTTTTATATTTACAATAGCCAACACGCATGGGTGGCCTGCACGCGCAAGCACCGGATTTGGACTAATCATCCTAGACAAGCAGTAGCTATGTTTCTGCAACTCGAAGCTTGGGGACTCACCTTTGCTTCTGGCTCCGTTAGACCACGCGGGGAGCGCAGATGAGATGGGGTCCCCGCGTCAAGCCTAGGGTTCCCCAGGCCGGCGAGACCGGAGCCGCTCCAGGCGCAGCGTGGCTTGAGTTGGATCCACAGATGCACGTCGCGGTCTTGAGTAAGGACCCGGGCGGCGGGCGGCGGCGGCGCGCGGAACGGCAGGGGAGTCTAGCACTGTACTGTAGCCGAAACAGCGGCACCTCGGGTCCGCCCCTAAGCAGGGGACAGAAGGTTCAGCCTGCTAAGCCCGTGAGAGCAACTCCAGTCTCCAGGTCTGTTTGGATCCGTTTTTTTAGGAAAAACATTGATCTGAAAATTTAGCTGACTAAAGTTTACTCTCTTTGCCCCCCAAAAAAATATAATTAAATTTTTTTGAAGAAATTAGTGTAGAGAAAAATGATGTATATACCCCTTCTATAGGTGTCATAATATATATTGATAGCAGTTTGGAACTATAAAAGTAGCTAAATCTACTAACTATACATACGTGAGCCAAGAGCTAAAATTACACTTACCCTGGGAACAAAGTTTGAACTCTAGAATTTACTTATTTTTGGGACATAGAAAATACACGACTAAAGTTTAGACCTATGTTGTTTGGATACATAGATAATCGAGAGGGATTCAAACAAATGTTTGGTAGCGCTTCTTGAGACATCTGAGACTAACTTTAAACACAACCCTACCAATCAGGGACATGACAAACAACTGCGCATGCGAAGCTCCTAAACTCAAACCGAGAGAGGCTGCTGGAGCTAGAGGAGCCGAAACATCACGCTTCATGGGTTCCTTCTCTTTGGGATGCTTTGATTGGGCATCGATGCATCCCAAAGTCATGCGTTGTCGTTCTCCTCCCTCCTTGGGCGCCAATGGCAAGCGGAAACGATTGCGTAGGAGCACGTGCCCAGCGGTAGAGGTTGTGCAACGCACTGGACGACGACAGGGACGACAGTGAAGGAGATATGGTGTAAGGAGAGGGACAGTGATGGAATGGAAGTTGTGGTGGGAGATGAGGCGATGGAGAAGGAGGGAGGCGTGACAAGAGGGGAGGGGTGGTGGGTGGGAACAGAATAACAGATAGAGAGAAGGGGAGAAATGAGAGAGAAGAGAAGAGAAGACAAGAAAAAAAAGAAAGAAAGAATATAGGAAAAAAAAACAAGAGAAAAAATAGGAAAAGGTATTATACACATTTCATACTTTCATATAGTGTTTGAACAACTAGGCGGAGTGTTTTGCCAAACATTCTTTTAACAGAGAAGCCGGTGCCAAAAAAATCATCTCCACCAGAAAAGTCAAATCCGGATCACTCCCTCTGTGGTTCCATCTCATATTATTTGTTGTTTTAACTCTGGGCATAGAAATTAAGGAGTATTAAAAAATGTGTAGTGTACAGAAAATGAGAAGAGAGAGAGATATAAATAGAGAAGTATATTGGAAAAGAGAAATGTGCATTGAAAAGTGAGAATAAGATAAGAGTACCCCTACTCCATACAAAATATGGGGTATACGGCCGATTAAGGTATCTAACTACACAATCGAATTTTTTTATCATTGTATCCACTTTTTTACCCCTTATCTCTTTCAACCCCCTTACTGTCCAACACATCTCTCGATGAGATATGTTAGCATTCTAGATGGCTTTGCTGATCTTAGACATCCCCACCGTGCATCTCCCCGACGGGTCTTCTTGGGAGGTGTTCTTGGGTTTACTAGGCGAAAAACAAACGTCTAACCGGCCCCATCGACCTGCTACTCAGCCTTGCCGTTGGGATCTTCCTCCGCTGCGTGTTTCGGCCATGTGCGGCCTCGGACGATCTGGCTCTACCGGTGTGGTGACGGAACCAGCGTCAACACATTCTATGTATCCACTTTTGCATGACTCAATGGACTTAAAATAAGAATTCGGTGCATTTATCAGGGCGTTAGTTAGCCTCTCGTTTTCAATGGATTAAAAGTGGCCATGTGGATGCATAGCATCTGATTTGATCATCTCTCAATTGTGCTAAGCGTCCCCACTAGTATCAGACCCTTGCACAGGTACTCACGTCGTTATTGGAGCATCTCTGACCACCCGCCCTTTTGATATAACTAAAAAACTAAAGCTCAATTCAAACTCTTCAGTACGTTTCTGTTTTTTATAAAGAGCGCACATGTATTAAATTTAGCAACATTGTACGCAGAGGAGATCAAGTTGATCCCAAGATACAAACTGAAGTGCTTCCTTGACAGGACAGTAGTTTCCATGAGAAGCACTAGTACATACAAACTAAGTGCGGAAGCTATGCAACTTTTTGTCCTGTGTGGCAAGAGAATGTGCCGTGAGGTTTTGAGCTCTTGTAATCTTGAAGATATGATGATCAATGTTTCTGTTGCTGTCAGCAAAGAGAGTTAGCAGAGGTTTAATACGCCAATCTTGGTAAGAGCTGGGCATGGTCCTCTGCAGCAGCTTCACTAAGATCTCATTATCAGAGAAGTAATTGACTTGGCCATTGGATTAACGAGTCAACAGCCCCTTGACTCAAATTTGGGGCGAGTTCATGGCCGGCAATGCATGAACACAACAGGACGGAGCTAAAGCAAATCCGAGAAAAAAGAGAGGTGTAGTAGTCTTATGGATACAAGGCTTTTGAAATAACGGTGTAAATATGGTAAAAATTTAGCTCTTGTCATTGTCTTTTTATTTTGCTACGAGGCGGTCGTACCCACTATACTTGATATAGCTCCGCCTCTAGAACGCGGTATGCAGTGCTGCAATCATGGCGTCAAGTTTAGGTTTTCAGGACCATGAGCGCAATATCCGGTTCTTGGATTCTATTTAGCATTTATCTTTCTAATAAAGACATGTTTGGTGTAGCTCCTCCTGGAGCCCTTTACGCGGAGCCAGTTTTTGCAGCCTAACGTGCGTATACAAAACGGCTCTGTGCTTTGCTGACCAAAAGTGCTTCTCTGCACGACATGGCTCCACCTACTCTTAGCCTGTTCGGTTGGCTGGTTTGTTTCGTTGCTGGTTCGTGAAGAAGTACTGCTGACTGATTTGTGTGAGAGAAAAATAATGTTCCGACTGAAAATTTACGATCGTTTATGACAAGCCACAGCCAAACGAACAAGGTGTCTGCCCATCGAGCCAGAGAAGAAGCTAGTGTGGAAGTCTACACCAAACATGACCTAAATTACTAGGATCCTGCTCCTCTGCATTCTTGTACACAAATGGTAAACGTGGTGACGCTGTTCAAGAATCTATGTCGATGTCATAAATTCGGGCTTCCAGTATGCATGGGAGTCATTGTTTCGTGGGAAGCTATGCTCATGTTTTTCTCTCCCCATGGTCGTCTTCCAAGCGTATACAACTGACCAATCACATCCTCAATGCATGCACGCTTTTCTTCCGATGTACTGCTAACAAGTAGTACATGGAAAGTTGGAAACCAAATATGCATTCGCCATCACGGAGCGAGGACTGAGAGGAGATATGCAAATGCAAATGCATGTACCTGACCTGACGCACTGGCTCAAAACACATCTTTTTTTTTTTTGGAGGGGAGGCTCAAAACACATCTACAACATTGATCACCCGGAGTCCAGAGATATGCTCGTATGCAAGATATCTCATGCAGGCGGATACCAAAAAAAAAAGACCGCATTACGCGTGTCGTGGCCCGTGGGAGTTCTTTCACGGGCCGTGCCGATGTACGCGCCTGGCGGTGACACACCGTGGGCCGTGGCGTGGACTCTCTCATCCGGCGACCGCTGTCTCTGACTCTGCCGCTGCCGAAACAGAGTCACCAACTCACCATCGCATCATCGCCTATCTGACAGACCTCCATGGCGCAGCCGCGCAGACCCCAGCGGCCAGCGACCGGCCGAGAATCTAACCGGAGATAGTCCGGCCGGCCAGCCCACAGAAAAAGCTGAGATAGGTCAGGATAAAAAGGCGTAAAACCCGTCGCTCTCCCTACCAATATAAAAAGCTCGGCGCGCCGGCCTCATCTGATCCGTCCGTGTCCGTCCCCGCAAGGCCCAGCTCCTCGCTCCTCACTCCACAGGGCCGCGCAATGGCGCCCAAGCAGCGGCAGCGGCGCCTCCTGCCCCTCCTCGCCGCGGCCGTCGCGTGCTCGCTGCTGCGCGCGTGCGGCGCCGCCGCCGCGGGCACGGGCACGCTCGGCCTCCGGCAGCACAGGCCCGCGAGGCAGCACAACGGCACGCGGCACGGGGGAGGCGGGCGCCAGCGCGCGGCGGCGGCGGCGGAGCAGGCGCCCCCGGCACCGGCATGGCGTCGTGCAACCTGTTCCAGGGCAGCTGGGTGTACGACGACACGCTGCCGATGTACGACACGGCGGGGTGCCCCTTCGTGGAGCCGGAGTTCGACTGCCAGAAGTACGGCCGCCCCGACACGCTGTACCTCAAGTACCGGTGGCGCCCGACCTCCTGCGAGCTCCCCGCGTACGCGTCGGTCTGTCTGTAATCACTCATCAAGCAATGCCTCGATCGATCAAATCTTGGTGCGCCAAGGCCCAAGGCCAAGCTGCGTGCTGCGTGCTGCGTGCTGGAGTTTAATGGCGCGCCCGGCCGCCATTGCT